ATCATCAGTAAGTGTTTCGAGCATCGACAGTTTATTGAAAAAGACATTTTTTTTCTGTTTGCTTGCTTCTTAATTCTAGGTCCCGCGCAGCTGTTCTTTACTCTTGTCTACAGAGATCTTTCATTTTGCTCGGAGGAAAATACCCTTAAAATCACTTTTATTTTCAGAAATATTGACTGGGAGGCTCTAATGAAAGTAATTTCTCAGTTTCGTTGCTCTTTTACCTATAGGTTCACTTGCAAAATCGAAGAACTTCTGCGAAACTTCGAACTCACTCGACTTTCGACGTTGTCTGAGCTCTGTATTGGTACACAGTCATTTTTTCAAACTTTTCATCCAAGAGCTATTTATTATTCATATTTTGTATTAGAATGTTATTATTGAGAGTAACGCCTTAGTCTGAATAAGAACATACACAAAAGTTAATATTACATCTCAAGGAGTCTAAGAGTAGAACAGGTTACCACACGGCGCTTCGAAGCCATAAAAAATCATTTTTCATGGCTCCGTATTTCTTCGATGCCGAACGCGTTATATATATATTATGCCGAACGGGCGTACGTGAACGGATAAAAATATGCCCCATACTCTTTCACAAGGGAACGGGTAGTTATACGGGGTGTAAGTGAACGGATAAAAATACGCTCCGTGCTCTCCCATGAAGACGAGTAGAATGTAAACAAATTAGCCTCAGTACGAGGTCTAGACCGCGTATTAAAAATTGATATGGGGTCAGAACGCCCGTTCTTCAATTTTTTTAAGCTCTTAGGGCAGATTATGAACTCGATAATGGCTGATGAATTGTAGACATATAATCACAAATTCTGATTGAGACTACAAACTAACAGACAACATTCAGACAGCAGAGCAAGTTTTCTCAGTAAAAATGGTCAGAGCTGGAGATCGTCCCTCTCCATTATTCTTTTCTCGTATTTTTAGCTGTAAGGAAAAAATCAAAATTAGATTCATTCTTTTAGATGTTGCAATTGAAATATTTAGCATCAGAGTGAGACAAGATTCGCTATTTCGCTTTTCATAGTTCAATTTCCAATATAACAATACTACAACGTGTAACAAGCAGAAAAATTTCTAAAGAACAAATCTGACTCCTTTCAACAACGCAAAACGGCATAAAATACAAATTTGAAGAAGTGAAGAATGAGTTTTTCAACGATATGAACAACAGAGAATGTGTTCTTTCTTTTCGAGTTATCTGAAGAACAAATGTCCCTAATAGAAGAACTCATTTTGTGTTCTTCCGTTTTCGAAAAAATCTAGCTGTGCATGTTTTTAAAAAACTCATTTGCGTTTTCTATTTGGGATAAGTGAAAAGCCCGTTTTATGTTTTCTGAAGAACACGCGTTTTTACTGTATAGTAAAAAACAAGGAAATGCATTCGTATGTTGCGATTTTTGCCGCCAAGCTTCCATTTTTTTGCAAAATCAAAAAAAAAATTCTCTTTCGAATGTTGAAAACCGCAGATCTCTAGCTGCTTCCTATCCGGAGTTATTCAACTTACAACCGACTCCATTGTTCATTAAAATGAATAGTAGTCAATAGAAAAAACGCAAATTATAATAACATACTTCAATTGACGTCTCTAATGAGGTCCTCATTGTAGAAATCTGATTACAACTTAACGTAGACAAGTTGTGATGATAAAAAATTAAAAATTGAAACCTTTGCTGATATTATCGTTTGTTTCATTTAACTACAAACTGCTTGACTTTTTAATAAGCCGAGAAAAAGAACTTGTTGAATTTGCTGCTGTTTCTATCATAGATAAACTTGTCGATGAAATATTGCAAGGAAAATCTGGACGTATTATTTGGGGTGTATTTCAAATATTGTTGATGATACTTGGAGATATAGGTATTAAAAAGATTTTATTCAATTTTTCTAATAAATTGCAAGTTACTTCCCCTATATTATTTTTAGGTAATTTAATTACATTAATTGTTTTGAATCGACGATGGATGAGAAAATGTGGAATAAACAATTTATTACAAGGTCTTGCTGTTAGTGATATCATTGGTGTGTATTTCTTGTTGTAAAATAGTGCATTGTATTCGAAATTATAAATAAATTTTAGCTCCAACAATTGCTTCAATACCATTAATTATCTATTATTATGCTAGTAACAAAGTAACAAATGAACATGTAATTGTATTCGTTATGCCATTGGCCACTGCTGCCACTTTTGCAAGTAATTGGATCGTTGTAACGATTACAGCATTCCGTTTATTTATCGTTATCAAACCGTTATATTCACAAGTCTATTGTTCAAGTAGAAATGAAAAAAAAGCTCTCACTATCATATTCATGTTAAGTTTATTATCTATTACACCTTATTATTTTGATTCATATTTTATGTTTAGTTCTCATATTCAAAATATAATTAAACTAATGTCAGCCGTTTTATCTTTGCTCGGCCCATGGATAATATGCGTTATTTTATGGTTAATATTAATACGTGTAGTAGGTCAAGAAATTGGTGAAAAAAATTCTTTAAAATTAACATTACATTCTGAAGTAATTGCTCAACGTATTCGATCAAAATCAAAAATAACAAAAATGGTATTAATCATTTGTTTTTGTAATATTATTTGTCAATTACCTGTTCTTATTCGAACAATACTTGATTTAATTGATACTGGCTCATGTGGTCGTGCAAAAACATTTTTTTTTGTCTATCTTTTATTTACATCAAATTTATTATTAATTGTCAATCATAGTATCAACTTTTTTATTTATTCTCTAACAAATGCTAAATTTCGTTATTCAATAAAGATGATGTGTCGCCGCTGTTGTTGCTTACAAAACTTATATAATCCACAACAATCGATGACTATTGATAATAGCAACATTAAAATGTACAAAATGTCACCGAGAGCAACACATTCAATCTCAACACTATCGGCTAGAAGTACCGTAAAATTTTTGGCCTTAACAAGAGTTCGTGATTTTTGAGCCAAAGCGTACGATTTAATGATTTATTCGTGTTCAATAAAAGATTACGGGGGGACAAGACAAGACGTTGATAGACAGAAGCTGCAGAGAGAGAGAGAGAGAGAAAGAAAAGCACAAAGTTCAGATGGTATACTAGTAAAGAAATAAACTTTTGTGTCTTCTTCACAATTAAACTTATTTATGTTTTCATTGTTTATTCTTTTAATTTTACTTATTAAAGAGAAAATGTTGAAGTGAGAAAGTGAACTGTTGATGGAAGCATCTTCGTTACAAATGAAAGAAACACTTTTCGAATGAAGACTGCGAGAATAATTCATTATTTGTTTGATTTGCCTCATGAACTAAGAAAAAGAGAGTAATTATCTGTAAACTAGCGAATCCATCAGAGCATGAATAAAAACTACTTTTTAACAAAATAATACAAATAGAAATATTAAAATATCCAGCCATATGTGAACATCCTAGTCTTCTCAAATATGTTTTTTGTCCGATAAAAATTCATGGGATGACCAAGAAACGTTTAGTTTTTTATCAGTTCTTTTGCTTCAAACAGATCACCTTGACTCATCTAAACTAGCACATATTTTAAGCCTAAAGTGATACTCAATTGACAGGGTTTTACTTCTGTATGAAAACATTTTTTTCTCAACCTTTCAAAATGCTCAAACACACTTTTCTCTTCGATTAAACAAGTTGTAGCGTCCTATACTTGTTGCCATTCGAAAATCATACGAGAAACAAAATGCAAAAAAAACGTACTGGAATTTCACTGAGGTAGCAGAGTCACATATTACTTTTTGACCATGTTAAAACAAACGGCTTGGCCAAATGTTACGGAATTTCATTTTTTCGTCTTCTGTGCCCCTTATCTCGGCAAAGAAGCAACGTTTATCAATGAAATTTATACTAATGATGGATATTAAGGAGTTC